GTGCTGCTGATGATAATAATGATGATGATGATTGAATAACAAAATGAAATAGAATTCATTTACTATTTTTAATTTATTCTAATACGTATTGTCATTCAAAATAATATTGTTAAGAAACAAAACGATTCATATACTTCGAATTATTAATTTAATTAAAATACTTTGATATATAATTAATAACGATTATCATAAGACAATGTAAATGATGATGATAATGATGATTGAATAACAGAATGATGATGATGATGATGAATGAAATAGAGAATTTATTTGTTATTTTTAATTGAATCTAATATTATTTGTGTGTGATTCATAATAGTGTTATTAAACAAAATTCATTTTCACATTCACATATATACTTTGAATTATAAATGAAATGAATAAATATGAACAAAAAAGAAACATATTTTTCAATGAATGATGAATGAAATTTTTGTGAAATTTGTTAATGATTAAGATTCAGCATATATTTACTAAACTAAATATACTTACTTACGTAATGATAGTAGATGAAAAACCGCGAAGCAAATGACTGATACAGCTCGTAAACAGAGCCTTTTTATAGCCAAGGATCTTCATCCCCCTTCTATCATCATCCCGTAGGATGGTTAAGCTCCCAGAATTTTAATTCTCTTCAACAGTTCTAGAACGTAGGGGTGATAAACAATTTTCCTTTCCCTTGCAGTTGACTCAATCGGTTGTTCTTTTTTTTTTTTTTATTCCTCAAAGGTACTTTCTGTCTCGATGATTGGCAGTTTATTGAAAATTGTATTACAACCGCCTTAGTCTGCATGTATTTCAGTTTTTCTTTTTTTTTTTTTGCATTTTAATCTATCTCTCTTCCTTTTTCTTATATATTTTATTCCTCATCTCTGTTGTGTCTTATTTTGTACTTTCTTTTATATTTTTACACCATAATCGGACAATATTATTAGGTTATAATTTAATTAGAGAATTTCTAGGTTGATTTATTGAATATTAATTATATTTTTATTAATATATTTAATTTTTTTTTTTTTATTTATTTTGGGAGAGGTGTTTTGGTTTTTTAAACTTTGATTTTTTTAATTATTATTATATTAATTAGTATTATTATATAATATTATATTATCATATTAATAGTATTGTTATACAATACTATTAATTAAATTAATTAAATTAATAATATAATTATTGATACCCTAAATATTAATTAATAATATTAATAATATTAATGAAATTAATAAAGTTTGATTTGGATTTTTATTTCTATAATTATTATTATATTAATTAGTATTAATACTAATAACTAAATTATTAATATTAATGATATTAATATTGATAAACTATTAATTACAATAATAATATTAATTCAATTGATAGATTTTAATTTTTATTTTTATAATTATTATTATATTAAATTTTATTAATATTATAAACTAAATTTACTATAAATAATATTATTAAAATTAATAAATTTTGATTTTTATTTGTATTTCTATTATTATTATTATATAAATTAATATTAATTTAATTTAATAAGTTTTATTATTAACAATTAGTAGTATTTCAATTTAATAATTTATTATATTAATGAGAATAGTAATAATAATTTATATTATTCTTTTAAAAAGAATATGAACTTTTAAATCATATTATTTACTCACACAATTTTTCTGTACTTTTTTATTTTCTACGATAAATACGCACCTGTGTAGGCGGATCAATATTTTGATTACTTTCTTGAAATCTTTCCAAAAAAAAAAAATCTATTAAAAATAGAACGATTTCTTTGTAATTTTATTTCTTATAAATTGAATTATATTATAAGTAAAGTTTATAAAAAGTTTATTTTGTATTTATTGTTTTGCAAAAGCTACGATAAACGTTTCAATTAAAAAACATTTGAAGAAAAGAAATTAATTTATAACAATTCATGGGTACATATATGTCAATCTTTTTTTTATTTTTTTTTATTAAACTTTTATCTATGTCCATCCTAAAACCACTCCCATTTTTCTCTAATTCTTCCTCAATTAAACAAAAAATAAAATAAAACATAACCAATTGATTGTAATATTGAAATGAAAGGTTGCTCTGGGCGCCGGGTCATAGTGGCGTTCAGGGCAACGAAAGGGCGCACGAGCTTGCCAGACTTGGAGCTTCACGACACGATCTGGCAAACCAATGCCACATCAGCGTGTCAGAGGGGCTCATGCGGGGGAGGTCTAGGAAGTGGGCCACGGACCGCTTCAGGGATCTCTGGGTGCAAAGCCCTGGCATGAGGCACACGAAGGCTCTGTTTTCAGGGCCTTCGGAGAAGCTAGGTACCGAGTTGATCAACCTGGATCGAGCCCAATTGAGGCTGGTTGTAGGATTGGTCACCGGGCACTGGCACCTTAGAAAGCACCTTACGCGACTGGGCCTTGCACAAGACTCGGTCTGCGGCAGGTGCGGCGAAGGGGAGGATACCCCCCTCCATCTCATAACTCAATGCGTTGGGCTCGCGGACGTCAGAAATGATGTCCTTGGGACCACCGCCAACAACTTCGACCTAGTGGGCTCAGGGGCGGAACAGACTGCTGCACTTTGCAAGGGAGTCGGGGCTGCCCGCGGGTCCGCTACGGTCATAGGTTTTTCCCCGCAAGGGGCCCGGGCACAATGGTCCAGAGACTGAGCGCCCGGGTAAACAAACCTCAAGGGGATAAAAAAATATTGAAATGAAATTTTACTTTTAAAGCTACAAATCAAATTTTTCTAGATCTTTTTTTAAATTATTTAATCCTTTGCACTCCGATGATTTAAAAAGGCAACTCGAGTGGCGCTGATACGGCGCCTGGCAGATTTCAAAGCAAAAAAATAGGCCTCCAATGCAAATTGTTAATTCTTCTAATTTGCATTATATACACGTAATTAAATTTTAAATTGAATAATCAATTGTACTTTTTTTTTTACAAATTTACGGAAAACGTTATAAAAATAAATGTGAAACGTAATACCTGTGAATACTTTTCTTAGTTACATATATATATATATATGTGTGTTACGTGTTAAGAACACATTGAATTACGTGGGTAAGGTCAGGGTCAATGGTATTAAGCTTACTAAGATTATTAACGGCTTCCAGAACTTTTATGGTGCTTCTTTAAGAATCCTATAAATAATCGTGCTAAATCCATTAACAAGACATTTCCATTTAAACCATCTTACCCATTTTTACGTGGTTAATTTTTAACATACACACACACACACACACATACACACATATTAGAATGTTCATTAAATCAAACAAAAAAAAATTAAAAATAAATTAACATCAATGATGTGATAACAAAAATTAACTAAGAAGAAACTTCAGAAGACAAAAATTGTTCAAATATTAATAATGGCGGTAACAACGAGTTGCGAAGAAACCAACATGGTTGTACCATTTCACAAAGGTTTATCCGAATGGTGGAGTGAAGAAACGGAATATGTTTTTCAAAGAATCGAAAGATGGGCAGCTTTTGCAAGAGGATACAATCGATTAAGATCCGAAAGATTATCAAAGGGTCGTTTAACGATGAATGAGGAACATAATTCAAGATGGAGTATATCATCGAATAAATTAATCATCGAAGAAGAAACATCATGGAATCCATCGTTTCATAAACTTAAAAGAAGTCGTCGTAGATCACGTCAAGAAGAGGAAATGAAAATCAATCATTTTCGTGACAGTGTTTTTGGTTATCGTTCTAATGATAATTTGGATAGCACTTGTTTAGAAACTTATAGATACGATCATAGTATTTATTTCAAAACTATCGGTGAAATTAGAAATAATAAGAAAAATTCAACAACAATTAATAACAATGATGATAATAATGACGATGATTCGAAAGAAAATGTGTCTTTAGATTGTGAAGATGAAGACATTGAAATTGAAGTTGATCATGAAGTTGAAGAAACTGATGAAGTTGTTGATATTGAAGATGAAATTGAAGAAATTGATGATGAAGTTGAAGATATTGAAGATGAAGTTGATCAAACAACATTTGTTTACGATTCAATTGATGAACAATTTTATCTTGAAAATGATCACACGAGAAATAATGAATTTGAATCAAACAAAAGTGATGTTGGTGTATGGCCAATAGTAGATTTGTCAAAACTCGATTTAAATTCAAAAATGTCGGATGAGTCATCGAACGATAAAAAGAATGAAGTTGAATGGACGATTGAGACTAATAATAATAATAATAATAATAATAATAATAATTATATGAGAAAGGAAAATATGGAAAGTAAAATGGATTATTATCAGAATGAAAAAAGGTTCAATTATGAATCGAAACAAGATGAATTGAAAAAGGATGAAGGTGATGAAGATACAACTAAAGGAATTTTTACTTTCAAGATGATTAAACATCGACCTTCGAGAATGATCAAAAGATCTACTGTTTGTGGTGATAATAATGTCATTTGGCCAGGAATACTTTTAAATTATACAAGAAATGTTGATATTCAATCAACAGAATCACCACATCACCACCACCATCATCATCATCATCATCATTACTATTCTAATAATTTCAAATGAATATTATTTGAATTAACAGATATCATTTTGCGATTATTTATATTTATTTGGTTTTTAACTTTATATTACTATTTTTATTATTAATTTAATAATTTCATATAAATATATTTTTTTTATTAACAAATATCATTTGATTATTATTATTATTATAATTTGGTATTAGGAACTTGAATGTTCATTTAATTACTCTTTTTATTATTTATATTTATTTGTTTTTGTTTTCTGTACTTCTACTTGATTATTTTATTTTTTTTTTTATTATTATTCTAATAATTTCAACTAAATATTTGTTTAATTAATAAATACTTACGATATAATATTCATTATTATATAATTATATTTAATAGAAAAGTGATAAACATTGTATAATTTATTCTAAAAAGGATAATGAAAAGAAAGAAAACAATAAATAATAATAAACAAAATAATCAACAATAAATAAGTATCCGTATAATAATATTATATCATTCTATATTTCAATAAACACATTATTCGATAATTAAATTATAATAAACATACAAAAAATTATATTAAAACTCCCCCCCTTTTTTTTTCATCCCCCTGCTACAATTAAAATCAACAAATTTTGGTAAAAGTTGCAATTGGTCTGTGCCATTTAATTTTGTGACAATATTAAAATATTTGTCGATAGATTAATCATTTTTAAAAATGGTAATCTTCTCATTATAAATATTTCTGTAATAAATTGTACAAAAATGTAATATTATCTTGATTATTATTTTTTAATTAGAAAAACATTGCACATACCTCTTAAATAATTACCAGTAAACGATGCGTCACCGTAAAACGTAAACAAATAAACATTTGGAAATACTTGTTTAAATACAGAAACATCCAATCCAAAAAATTGATTCATACGAAAATGAGAAATGTGCATCAGTGCAATTGAATTTCTTGATAATACTATTTCTTCTTTAAATTCTTGTAATTTTGATTGAACTTTTTCTGGATTATTGTGTTGTATATCTAAATTCAACGAGTAAGCTTTTAACGATGGATTACTTATGAAAATAATTAATAATTTTGTATCAATACTACAAAAATGTTTGTTTACATTAAAACGACACACTGATAACGTATCTATTATAGCACACCATATAGTCATATCTTTAAATGGACACCTCCTATATTTAAAAAAGAAAACAAAAATACAATGAACAAAATTCAATAAAATGAACAAATGAAACGAATTATATAATGAACAATATTTAAAATGATTTATATATATATATATATAGAATCTTATCGAACTAACAGAGATAATCATGATTCTAATTAATTAATAAACAAATAATTCGCAATAAAATAATATTGCGATTATAAATTGAGATATAAACTATCCTATCTTTTAAGTTGGATGAAACTGCACACTATGTGCAAAATTTTATTCAAATCGGTTTAGTAGTTTAGGAGTCCATTGCGAACAAACAACGTGACACGTAATTTATATATATATTAATATAAACTATCCTATCTTTCAAGTTGGATGAAACTGCACACTGTGTGCAAAATTTTATTAAAATCGGT